AATAACCTAATATAAATATGAGATATTATAGTAAATGCATACTATTAATGAAACTAACGAGTTACTGGAATAAATATGGAGAAAGTACTTAATTCAATGCGAAAATTGTCCAAAAAAAAATTGCCACGCTATTTCTGTTGTATATAGTGTTTTGAAATTAAAACAAACCGATGAATGGCATATATACAACAAATTTTACACTTGGGCTTCGACAAAATCTTGAAAAAGTGTCGAAACAAAGAATTTTTGATGAATTTGGCAACATGCCAAAACAGGATTTTAAATGAAACTTTCAGTAAAATTTTCATATGGTAACAAGAAAGAAAGCACCAGTAGTGCCTAGTAAACTGCTTGTTGCTTACTCCACATAGACTGGCTTGTCTAAACCAGGAACATAACTTTTCTTTTCAGGAGGCTACTGCGCCCTTGACCTCTCCCCTGTGGTTGACCCAAATCAGGAGTCTACAATTTTCTTATCAGGGAGGCTACCACGCTTCCTTCAGAAACCACCTGCGGCTGGCCCAAAACAGGAACCTAAACTTTTCTGTAAAGGGGGGCTACCGCTCCCCCCTAGAACCCCCTTTGACTGGTCTAAAAAAGAAACGTAGCTTTTCTTTTCAAGAAAAAGAACATAAAGAACATAAATTATCGCCCTTTAAAGGAAAAACTTTAGGTTCCTAGTTTGGGCCAACCACAGGAGGCTTTAAGGGGGCGGTAGCCACTTCTGAAAAGAAAAGTCTAGGTGCCTAATTTGGACCAGTCACAGTGTGGTTTCAGGGGGAGGCAGTCCCTCCTGGAAAGAAAAGCTTAGATTGCTATTTTGACCTGTCTGCATCCATTTATGTTCCAGTTCAAGGTTCGTTGTGATGTAAGAGGTCTCAAAACGGCCATGGACGGACTTAGGCCATTTGCCTCAGGCGCTAGAATAGATAAAATACTCTGGAACTTACATGGCTGGACTCCTTTTGAGGTGTTGAATCCGAATATGTGTGTTTGAGAAAACGAGAACCTATGTAACTGGGTCAGATTTGAAGTTTACTTCGAAAGTGTCAAAATCTCACTTTTCAGGTGGTATTCAATATTTTGAGACAATGGTACTTTCAGACAACACTTTCAGAGTCGATGGTAACATAAGTTATCGACCATTATGATTTTGTAAAACAACAGTCTGGTCTTTCAAAAATTGAACAGGTGTACTTTGTGACGACACTTGATTTTTACACAGATTCACATGCGATCTTGACTACACATTGGTCAAAAAAGAAGGTTTCGATCTATTTTCGTTCAAGAGTTATTTAAAAAGTACTGATGGTCATTCATTCTATTTTGAAATGAACAGCGATTTTTTCGTGGGTTAAAGTAGTCTTTTGCTTATATCTCTGGATCCTCTTGACCTACAATCTTCATTTTCAAGAGAGTTCTGCCCGTGACTATTTCTGATCTGTGTGCCAATTTTGAAAAAAAATCGTCTAAGGAATCGCACTTCACTGTATGAACTTTTGGTACATTTAATTAAGAAACAGTTTATTGTCCGGTACAGTAAAAATTGAAGAAAAACGGTTTTGCCTTGCACAACACAAATGGATCTTGAAAGGACAGAAACCTACTCTGCTAGAGAGGTTTTTTTCTCCTAATTATTAGAGCTTTCCACACACATTCCCTAACCACACACTAGCTTTCCGGAAAGCTAAGCCATCTAGCCAGGGGAGTTGTATTGTATATCACAACGTAGTGAGGATTTGAAATACGTGACAAACAACATAATCCTTTAGCTGCACTGTCTGTTTTGTAAAAGTTATTCTTTTAATAACTTTTCTTTATTCAAATGTACGGGAATTTAGAATTTTTAAAGTTGGATTAAAAGATCGATGTGATAAATAACAAGCGAAAACCGTTTACAACCACCTAGGTATTCAAATACGCATTTCTATTCAGATTTCAAAGATTTATGATGTTGTATTCCAGGAGTACCGTTGAGAGTATCGGAACACATACGAGAGTAGGAATTGCTGAAGTATGGGAGTACGCTGCGTTCTCCTTGGATTACAGAATGTTCTTCTACACGCCCTCTATCAGCACAGTTAGCATAAAAGTTCCCGGATTTAGATATGGGTTTTCCAAAAACCCTAGCTTTTCCAGGTATTTTCCATTTATTTCGATCCAGAAATGTTTCTATTCAATAAAAATGACATATTCAGAATCACCGCAAGAAACTGCATCGAATGATGTGCCATTAGTAGGTTTTTCTGAGCAAAAACTTGTTGGACCTAACGAAACGCTAAAGTCGAAGTATAGCTTGACACTTGACTTATAACTTCATTGATTCGTAGTAGAAAAGGTCAGCGACAAGGTCATTTTAGGCCTAACGTTTAACAATATGTATTGAGATAACAAGGGAAAGTAGATTGAAATCAGAGGGCAAGAAGGAGATAACAGTAACAATTAAATATAAAAAATGAAAAAAATAAAAATAAAGGATAAACTATAAAGGACAGGTCCTTGAGTTATGGTGGATTTATGGCTTATAAATAGATTTAAAAAGAATTAGGCATGCTGCTAGTTTTCAAATCTTTTTGTTTCGCAAATATAAGAGTTCACAGCCCAAAAAACAGATGCTGTCTCATCCTCGCTCCTTCCAATATCATTAAGTAGTAGTGTGTCCAAGGTAAACGTTTTTAAGAAATTTAGCTTTTGCTTTAAAATTATTCTTGCGTTATTATTCAATGGACAATTAAGAAAATAGTGTGCAGCATCCACTCTAGCATTCCCACATACACACTTAGGCGAATCTACACATTTGTGTTTAAATAAATAATAATTAAGTGCTGGAAAGTTTGATTTTATCCTCAAAAATGAAACTTCTGCTCGACGTATTAAAAATTTTAACTTTTTAGAAAATGGGGATACTGTAATTAAATCTGATTTTAAACGTATTCTCATTTTTGAAATGATCATAGTGATGTAATCGCGATTTTTCACTACTAGATTATTCCATTCTTTCGTAACAACAGTAAAGAAATCTTTTTCAGTATTATTCACTACCTCTACTGTAATGTTCGAATTACCTCATAAATTATATCGAACACTTGGTCTATGAAGGTGTATATGATTCATTAGATAAGCAGGTGCAGGACACTTGAGTATTTTGAAAAAGGTCAATAACCGCAATATATAAAAATGTTTTTCTGTAGAAATCCAACCTAGGATCTCATATAGTCGGTCTTATGATGTACCATCCATTGTTCCACAGGGCCATTGCAGTCTCATACTGAATGTGTTCAACCATATTCAAATTCACCGTTGTTGTTAGCGAGTAAATTATAGAATCATAATTCAAAATCGATAAAACACACGCTTTATAAATAATTTCTAATGGATTTCTGAAAGCCTATAAAAAAAAGTGTTTGTAGACTGCCGGACTGCTTCTATAGCAAATGTCCGCCTGGCCTATGGAAGAATGCACACTATGCTCCTCTTCTCTGTCAGAAATGAAGATTTTTATCAAAAGTACCGATTTTGAGAAACAAACATGGTTAGATAGTTCCAATTCTCTTCTTTCGAATGCACTAAGTTTAAAGTTTAGTAATTCGATTTGACGATTTTCTGCGAAAAGATTTGAACTAAATAACTATAGATTATCTCGTACGTGGTTTTAGGAAAAAATGTCCACATTAGTACACGCATATATGATGCATCTGCGTACACATGCGCATTGTATCGCTGTGATTGAAAGCTTGTAGGGACATATTAACGGCGGGTCGATCTCATAATATGTGCGAAAAAACGCACTGTTTGTGCTTATAAAAAGTATGTAGCGTTTTTCTCGAAATAACTTTTCCGCTCGGTAGCGAATACTGATTACAAGATTTTATGCAGAAGAGTCCGGGTTGATCTCAAATTAAAAGTAACAGTTAAGACAACGGAGTACAAGAGCCAGATTTTTGATTTTTTGATATTCAGAATTTTGTGAAAAAGATTTTTGCATGATTTTGAATTTGGGTATAAGTTTTTCAAGGAAAAATATCAAAGAACATGTTCTCCTACGCCGTTCCCATATCTGTTTCTGACCTTTCAAACCAAATCCGAACTCTTTATCATTTTTATGACGGTGAAATCTAGTAAACGGCTGCTGCTCCATTTCGAGCATATTTTAGCGCCGTCTGCCGAATGCTGATACATCTTCATTATTTCTAGACATTTCCAACATTTCAGGCATTTATCATAAAATATTATAAGTTTTTATTCTGAAGAAGACACTTTTTCCTATCTACTGATATAAAAAAATTAGAAGTTTACTATTTCAAAATGGCAACTAGTTTTTTGCTAAGTAGTTTTTATTAAATGCTAAGTTAATTTTTGTTAATTCCTACTTTAGTAAGCTGTATTTTTGTGTGCCGCCTCTAGGCACCTTCCCGGGGAGGTGCCAGGAGAGCACGAGAGTAAGCCACTAAACCACATTTCTGCAAAGAATGTAATTATTTTTAATAAATTACTTAGAAAAAAATAACTTTTTACTTAGCATTCAATAAAAATTACTTAGCATTTAAATGGGAGCTTTTCGAAATTTTCCATTATGCACGAGTTTTCCAAAAATTTCTTGAAAAACTCTTTTTTGAAAAAATCTCTAAAAGGATTTGCACTTGTAAAAAGTTGCTCTATAATCTCTTCTTGCCATATAAGAAAAAGCCGGCTCTTTAGCGTTCACCATTCAAAAGTTATTCAAAAAGTGGTCATAGATTCTTCTTTTCGTTTTAGACGGACAGTAGTTAAACAGCCTATTTTCTGGAAACGTTTCAGAGCATAATTTTCCATAGCCAATTCAAGTCTTGCCTATCTAATCAAGAAAATGGCATCATCTTTTCCGATTAAATATAAATAAAGAGAAAAACAACTGTGAGTCATTCCAATTTGAAATGGATAGTAGCTGATGAACAACAGATCCCTTATCTTGAGATAAAATGAAGTACAATGGTTACATAGCCGATCCATTGATATTGCGATTAACAACATGAATACTCTTTTGGCTGTGGCTTATTATGCTGCTGCGGTAGGGTAAAAGTTGGTGAACCTAATGTCCAATTTGATTCTATTTCATTTGTGGTTCGTTTCGCGTAACGTTTATAGATATCTTGAATAAGTAGAAGAAATGCTTGCTCAACGTTTGTTGCATCTAATGCTGATGTTTCCATGTACTGAATGTTCCTTTCCGATGCATAATTTTGGGCATCTTCTGACATCACTTCTCGCATATGGTGTTGATCACATTTATTTCCTACTAGGAGTATACAACAGTTAGCGCCAGCATTTTCACAAATTTCATTATACCATCGATCAAGATGTTCAAATGTCTGTGAACGTTGTATGTCGAAGACAAGAAGGGCACCAAAAGCATTTCGATAATATGGTTTTGTAATCGCCATGAAACGTTCTTGACCAGCTTCAACAAAAGAAAATTCCAGTTTAGAAATATGATGTTTAAACTTAAAAGTTTTATTTAATTTTAATGGTCCATAACAGCTGTAAATCATTCTTTATCAACTGTAAGTCTGAATTTGGAGTATATATTTTGCATAGTTTTGTGTAGCATCTTCTAATACACAAAATTCAAACTCATGCGAGCCTCTTTTAAATTACCAAAATAACAAAATACCGTCGGTATACCGTGCAGTTAACCGATGGTAACTTATTAAACCGTGGTCTAAGAAAATACCGCACAGTAACCGTTTTTATCCACTCATCATTGTATTTTGCACCCATGAAGATATAAAAGGACTACAGAAAAATTCGAGCAACTTGATTTCTTTTTCAGATTAACCTTTTCTTTTAGATCATATAGACTCGCCGAAGTTTGAAGCTCGACTCGAGTAAAATTTCTCTCAGTCGGGAGCCTCTCAGCGCTCACAAGTGCTCAATAATAATAAAAAGAAAGTTGAAAATTAGTTTCTAACTCTTGTCATAATGATAAAATACCAGGCGGTACCGCTAGTTATACCGACGGTATATCGGACGATATTTTCGTTTACTATGGCAGTATACCTGGAGGTCTGCGGAACCGTTCCAGTCTTTGACCCATCCCGATCCCGCGAGACTTTTTACGGGACCGGAACCTAGAGATCTGCGGGACGGTCTCAGTCCTGCAAAATGGTCGCGGTCCCGCAGGACTTTTAATGCGACCGGGACCAGGTTTTTTTGAAAATAGCCTTGTGTGGAGCATAAAAATTTCTTAGTTTCTGTGCTTGTTTGTATGTAGACACCAGTTATGCAAGAAAGAACTCGTAGAAAATTCTGAAAGTCTTCAATTAATACTACCCACACATGCTGGTCCACGAGCCACATTACAACGCGCTGACTTTCAAACTATCAGCGCTACTTTCAAAAAATATTTACGGGACCACAGGACCGGGACCAAAAACAAAATCTTTCCAAGGGACCGAGACCGGAACTAAACTTTTTTTCTTCACGGAACCTGGAACAAACTTCATGGGATCGGGACCAAAAAAGTTTGGTTCCGCAGGCCTCTAAGTATACCTCACGGTAATCGTCGGTATTTTGCCGGTATTAAGAAGATGGGAAGGTAGAAATGACATTTGACATATATAACAGACCTGGAACACAAATTCATCGAAGTATTATTAATTTCAAATCAGATTTGAAAAGCATATGCTTTAAACTGAAAAAACTATAACGAATTTTGTCTAAAAGTTTACCTGTATCCCATATTTGTGTTCTTATAATATTTCCATTAATTTGAACTTCTTTTGTAGAAAATTCTATGCCAATTGTCGATGCACCGTCCAAACAAAATTCATTTTTAGTAAATCGTGATAATAATTGACTTTTTCCTACTCCCTGATCACCTGTGAGTACAATTTTGAACATGTGTTTATAACTTTTATCGCCATTATATAATGATCCCATTATTTTCGAACATAGAATCAATCAAAATATGTATACCGTTTGTGTGATTAAACAGACGATTGCATTATGTATGTTTGGGCTTTATAAAACGTTCTCTATTTATGCATAATCTCTAGGTAAGTTAAGCAATAACGCATCACCTGAATGTTAACTTTAACTTGACTATTTAGAAGCAAAAAAAAGTACATGACACAATTCCAAGTAAAACTATGATAAATCAATCAATACATAATAACAGAAAAAGAAACGTAATAGAAAGAACAAATTTATTCATTTAAAACGAGAAAAAAAACCTGAAACTTTTTGGTATTATTGCGCTACCTGTAAAATCAACAATAATAATCTCAAAGCTATATTTCGTGTGTCAATAAAATTTTTAATCAATATAAACGAATGCGAGACTTTTTCGTTTGCTTAGACCTTTTACAAAGCTAATAGTTCCTTTTCTCAATAGTTCGAATATGCACGAATAGAAGTTTTGATTAATAGAGCTGAGTACAACAAATGATAAACGAGCTATTTGTGATCACGTACACTTTGTCCAGGGATGAATCATGTAAAACTATTCGGTTTTTGAACAATTTTATACATTTAAAACACGCAGCTAATGTTTCCTTTAACAACAGCTACAGTACATTAAACACTGACAAATGCGAAAACATCCCTTTATTTGTCTCCTTAATCCGATTCTCTGCACGGATTAATACAAAAAAACAATACTTTCCTCGTTCCAAAAATGCCTAAGACACGTTTCGAAAATGTCTTACCATTATTCCGTTATTTTCAATCTCGAAGTAATTCCGTATCCGCTTGCAATTTTGTGTATATTTAACATAAGAAAAACCTATTGTAACTTGACGTTTCAGTATTCGACGCCTATGTAAATGCACCGATATATTTAAAGCTGGAATTATACGAGAGCCCCCATACTCTGAATGTGTTCCGGACTCGGAATGTACACTATAGTGTTGGAATGCTATTCAACTCAGTTGTGCAGTAACAAGTGAATGTGACACTGTTTCTTTATTCTGTAGATTTTGATTGTTTTTCAAAAGGTGTTCTAACAGAGTCCAAAATATTACTTTTCGAAGAATAGTACTGTTAATCAGCTAAGAAGTATGAATTGTATGTTGATTCTTGCCATTCATGCTGAATTCAGTATTTGTACCTTGAAATAGTAATGGAATAGTAACATGTAGAACATCTGTATTAAAGCCATAGTTTTCTTGTCTTCCAATCAACTCTGCACTGTAAAAAAATACAATTGGTGTTCTTCACCAATGAAGAGATATTTCCAAAAAAGACACGCAGTTTATTTTCCATACGTTGGATGGTTGCATTGATGTAAGCGAAATCCTTTCATTAGAAAATTAGGTACTTTTGCCGCGCAGCACCACATTAGATAAAAATTGGGCGCTAGG